GTGAGTTCTCTCAATTACAGTTGTGAGTTCTCTCAATTACAATTTGAGTTCTCTCAATTACAATTGTGGGTTCTCTCAATTCCAACTGGAATTGTCTCAATTATAGTTGTGAGTTCTCTCAATTCCAGTTGTGAGTTGTCTCAATTACAATTCTGAGTTCTCTCAATGCCAATTGTGAGTTCTCCCAATTCAAATTGTGAATTGTCTCAATTGCAGGTTGGTGGAAGGGCTCACAGACTGTTCACACTGTTTCTTAGCACAGCTCTGCCCTCCCTCTCTTGCACTGCCATTAATGCCTATCCCATTCACCAGGAGGGATGGGAAGGGATTTTGCAATGGAGCATCTGGATTTGGCTCTTCCCMCGGCAGTTTTGGGGTCACTGCATGGTGGAATTCCTCTTGCCAGATCTCCGGGSCATAAGGGAGGGAAGCAATTTAATTTCATGTTAGTTATAACCTAATGCTTTAAGAGATTTCTGGGTGTCCRAGCTGTCAAATTAATATTTCAAATCCCACAAGCATTATAGACTTCATGTACATCATCACAATTACATGAAGAAATCCCATATTACCCAGAGGTCTTTTTTTAATGGTTGATTGCTCCTAAATTACATTGCATCAACACAGACATTGACTAGCAGAATCCCAGAAAGATATTATAAAGCAATTTTCACACCTTCACAATTTAGTTTGAATTAAAAAAGACAAAAAGTTCTCACTGATACATCCCAGGCAGCTTTAAAAAYGATGAGGGTCGGGGTTYAGGGTTTTTTGTCCTACCTTCATTAGTGATTTATCTTGCCTTCTAAGATCCACCAAGTGCAGGTTACCAATGATCGGAAGAGGAGTTGGACCAGGAGGTAATTTAAAAGCTGAATTTTTATAGCCAGTTGAAAAATAGACTACAGCTAATAATACTGCTGCACACAGCAGGCAAACTAAYGCAGGATCAGACAGAAATGAAATTAAAAAAGACATTTTTTTTGTTTTAGTAATAATCTGGTTTTTGGGGTTAAAAGCAATAAAAATGCAGTGGCACTGTTCGGWTTCTGCCAGCTGGCTTTCTGTTTGCTCTCTGCAATTGCTACAAGCACTCAATTCTTATTAAGGTTTGTAGAGTACCTAAATAAATACTGCATACTCCACCCTCTTTAAACACCTCAGAGAATGTGGTCTAAGCAGTTTGCAAAGCCTGTCCAGAAGTAAAGAGAGTTTCAAATTACAAACCCATGCATGTGTGTGCAAGAACATATACATGGGAAAAGGTGCTTGGCATTCCTCTATAACCTCCTCCTCCTCCCCGAGACCTCGAGGTCCTTCATTAGCAGCATTGTGACCCTCCAAACACTCTGCTGAYACAGGGAAATGAAAAAAAGCTTCTTTGAATCCTATTAGAACCTCCAGATTCAGGTTTAGGTAGGATTTGAGATCTCTGTGTTACCAGAGAGAAAAATCAGTATTGTTACGGCAGACTTTGGCTTTGTTGGTGTCAAGTGGAGATCAAAGGTTGTTAATAGTGGTAAAGCCCAAGTGCCCCCGGGGAGTTGTAGCCCATAAACTTCTTCATAAAGTCAGCTCTGAACTGCCCTGGAGGGATGTGATTTCAGACTTTGTGTCTGAAGCAGAAGACATGTAATAGCTAGCCATGGAAAATTAGCTTGGATCAAGTGATCATGAGTGGATTCACGAGTGCTGTGGAAAGACAAAATTGGATTTGAAACTTCTGRGAGGATTCTTCATTTTGCAAGAGCAGCTTCTAAGGGATGGAGGGAAGAAGTGAAATCAATGAAGCCAGCTGATCTGACAGGCTCCAGAAGGGAAACAGGACAGGAGAACAGAATGATTTTCAGGCAAAGATTCAAATCACCTGGAGCTTGCATCCCACAGAAAAGCTTAAGCCTTGTAGAAAATAATTGAGGTCTACCTGGTTGAATAGTGGTTTTCAGGAGGAAGCTGAGCATAACCAGCCAAAGGAATAAGATTGTTCAGGGCAGGAAGGGCTGCCTTGCTGATGAGGAAGCGCAAGGCTACAGGAACGTTTGTCCAAAGGTTAGATCATATAAAGGCCATCATTCAGCAATTATGGGTCCTCAGCCTTGCAAATGCAAAGAAGGCAGGGAAGGAGGTGGATCTGATCCAGAATGGGGCACGGGGAGCAGGATCYCAGGGTGGATGATCACCAGGGCTGCCTGAGCACTGTGGAGACAGCACAGCAGCCACCCAGAAGCAGAAGCAGCAGCAAGTGTGTCGCAACATTTCTGGCATTTATTTTTTTATTAGTTTCCAAGAAATGGGCTGGAGGCAACGGTTTCCCCCASAGCATGCCTGGGATGACTCAGCCCTGCCTGTTCAGTGAGCAGAGAGCAGAGGGGGTGTAAAAACAGGCAGGAAAGGATCACGGCTGGCACAGGATGCAGGACGTGGGCACTGCCACCAGAACTTGTGATGGCACATGCTCTGGGCCTGAGCAAAATGTTTGTCCCTGCAGGGTGTTCTTGGACCAGCAGCACCCTGCAGGGCACAAGTGACGCTTTGCTGCTGTGTTTCATCCTTGCCCTGGGAGCCTCTGAACTCATAAAAAGGCCTTTCAGAAAGAGATTTAAATGAACTCAGAAAAACCAGGGAGAGTGCATTGTGGTTTTTTG